CTGCAGAGTTTAGCTCCAACTTGCCTCAACACACCTGCCTGGAAGTTTCTAGTATGCCTAGTAAGAGCTTGATTAGCTGCTTCAGGTGTGTTTGATTAGGGTTGGAGCTAAACTCTGCAGGACACCGGCCCTCCAGGACCGAGTGTGGGCACCCCTGGTTTAAATGCTTCCACACTGCTGACGTGTGCTGCATTATAAAGAGTGCGGGCCTCTATTTGATCGCGTCATATCACTGTTCGGTACAATTTATTCGGTCTTTTCTCTTATTCGGCCAAACACCGAAAGAGCTTTTTTTTTTGCTATTTTCGGCCGAATAATTTCGGTTGCCGAATATTCGGTGCATCGCTAAATAAAAGCAGTTTTCTTACATTTATTTAGACATTTCTTCTCAAAATAAAGTAAAAAGCAGTGGATCAGAACTCACTTGAAATCGGCTGGAATGAGCAGATTAACCGAGGGGTCCTTTAGTATCTGGATCACCTGTAGAGTGCAGCAATAAAATACAATAGGTAAATGATTAAAACAGGGCAGTTTCAATTTCAGGACAACAATTTCCAAGCCTCTCCAACTCACCAAATCATTTATCTTCTTTTGGATTTCTTGATAGGCTTCTTTCCTATTTATCTCTGTCAGTGATACTTTGTTTATTTCAAATGCAAAAATGAGTGCGTAGGCGGTGTCATTAATACCTTAAAAATATATAACAAAAATAATTAGTTGTGTGACTACATATTGGTCATGATATTTCATTATCCATTTTCATTATTCATTATGCATAATTATTGACTGTTTTTTTTATTATTATTTTCCTTCAAAGGAGGCCATGAATTATATTATTATGTTATAATTATGTTATATTCACAACAAAAATGGAGCATGAAAAGAGAAAAACTCACCCAAATACTCAACATTCTCCAAGGACAGAGGTTCACTCATGCTTGTTACTCTCGTGGTTAGTTTAGTTGTGAGATTTGAGGCCAGCATAGATTTAACCACCTGTAGAACATTACTCTCACTTGGTCTTGGGCCCAGTGTGATAAACTCGAGACGAATCTTAATAATTCCCCTCCTAGTCCTGCATAAATAAAGATGATAAATAATTGGAATATAAACACAGAAAATGAAAACAACTAGCTTTTTAAAAAAAATCACTCATTGGTCTTACAAGATCGGTGGTGAAGTTGTGGTTGTCAGAATGCTCGCTGTAAACGAAAGTAATAATTAACGGAGGAGAATCAGACTTTCAATTACAGCATTTGTTGTTTTTGAAGCAAGACATATAAAACATGACAAAAAATGGAAGTTTAACATTTGATTGTCAGTTTGGCCATATAAACTGTGAGGTAACAGATGGTTGACAGTGCAGCAGGTGTGGATATGGTAATACCTCCGTCAAGTTGGAGAAGTTCCTGAACAAAGATGCTGGGTTTCGTGATGTCACTTGGTGAGAAAACATACTCTACATTGGCCTTAATTACTGTGGAATTACCCCTGTGGGGAGATTAAAATGTACAATGAGAAACTAAAGTCAATAAGACACAAGCCATATACAAAAACTCGTATACAAAACACTAACTAACACCAAAGAAGAGTCATTAGGACATATTTGCTCAAATTAAAGTAAAAAGTGAATCAGAACATACGTGAAATCAGCTGGTTGGAACTTAATGAGAGGAGCTGAGGAGTTACTGAGGAGCATCTTGCCCAGCTGAAAAAATTGAGATGAATTGTTTATAAATATGTTGAGGTTAATGTGGCAAATGAAAAAGAGAGACAGAAGAAGAAAAAAAGTGTTTGTAAAATACTACACTATTGAAATGTCTCCAACTTACCAATGTGTTTATAGAGTCTTGTATTGTCAGGTGGGTGCCATCCCTGAGTTCAAGCTTCTCAGACATGGTTATATTGCTGATTTCAAATCCAAAGTCGAGAGCATAGGCCGTCTCATTTATTTCTTAAAAATATATATAAAAAAAAAAAAATTGTTGTGTGCTTATATGTGGGTGGGGAAATTTCACTAATGTATTCCTTAATATTATTTTTGTTCAAAATAGGCTATGAAAGCTACAAATCCACAACATTAGAATTTAAATAAAATATGTAGAACAAAAAGAAGCCAAACCAGGAGAGGAAAACTCACTTGTATATGTGACATTGACAAAGCTCACAGGATCACTCAGGGCTTGTGTTTTGGTGTCTTGTTTAGTTGTGAGACGCGTGTTCAGCAGAGTGTTGGCCACCTCAAGAACCTTCTCTGGATTTGGCAGGGGGCCCAGTGTGACAAACACGAGGCGAATGAATATAAGCGCTCTGCCAAGCCTACAAAGACAATAAATAATATACATTAAGGTCGGAAATGAAAATATATATTTTTTAAAATAGTAAATATCAGACTGAAATCACTGCTCTTACACTATCGGTGGAGTAGTTGTCAGAGTGCTGGCTGTCGTTAAGACTGTAAAAGAAAGTAATGATTAATGGAAGAAGCTTGCAGTTACAACATTTGCAATCCATTGTGAGTTTTGACAAACCTGTCTGTGAGCGAAGCTCATTGAGGAAGCTGACTGGTTGTATGACATCTCCATCCTGGAAGGTGTATTCCATCCTGCCATCAATCTGCTTTGAAGTGCTCCTACAGGACAAATAAGAGATATTTGTTAGGGACTTTAATCCACATCTTGAAAAAATATTTAATAAGCTTGAAATGTGAGGACACATGAAATTAAGATTGTGATGTGAGTTTCCATCTTACGTGAAGTTGGAGGACTTGGGTTGCAAATTTGGACTACCAGGTTCATTCAGAAGAGTGTTCAGCTGCAGGAGAAAAATCAAATCATTCATCAGTTTCTGGTGAAGACTGGCATTGAACCCAAGCCTTATTACACTGTTAATTTTTGAAGTTTACCGCATTATTGACGGTATTCTGCACTTGCTGGTTGGTGTTGCCTCTAGACGCAGGGTCCTCTGGCATACTGATGTTAATCACGTTAAATGTAAAGACCACAGCATAGGAGGTTTCTGAGATTTCTGTTTGGATTGAAATAGTAATTTTAAGATTTGCCAAAAGCCTGTAATACATCATTGTTTGACTTAATCTAATTTCAAAACTGTCCAAATGAAAATAATGACACTTACTCTCATAGGTGACATTCACCACCTTCACCGATTCATTGAGCTGTGACTCTCTGGAATTACGGAGAGTTTTGATTGCACTGAGGACCAGAGATTCACTGGGGACTGTAGACGAGGAGTTGAACACCAGCTTGCTTGTGACCACTCCTGAACCAGATCTGTAAATATAACCACTTTTGTTTAATGTACATCCAATTTTTGCAATAAAATTCCTTCTCCAATTTTGATTGTTCTCAAAATAGAAATCCAACACTTACATGAGGTTTGAAGGAGTTACAGAGAAACCAAATGTTGTTTCTGGAAACACTGTTGTAGTGGTTGGCAGACGTAGCTCATTGAGGAAGCTGACTGGTTGTATGACATCTCCATCCTGGAAGCTGTATTCCATCCTGCCATTAATCTGGATTGAAGTGCTCCTGCAAGACAAACAAGATATATCTGTTAAGGACTTTAATCCACATCTTGAAAAAGTTTTTTATTTTTTATTATTATTATTATTTATTTATTTTTTTTGGTATTTGTAACTTTACATAGCTTCAATGAGCTGTGGTTGGTAGACGTAGCTCATTGAGGAAGCTGACTGGTTGTATGACATCTCCATCCTGGAAGCTGTATTCCATCCTGCCATCAATCTGGTTCGAAGTGCTCCTACAGTACAAAAAAGAGATATCTGTTAGGGACCTTAATCCACATCTTGAAAAAGTTTTTTTTTTTTTTTATTATTATTTATTTGTTCTATTTTTTTTTTTGTATTTGTTTCTTTACATAGCTTTAATAATCTCAAATGTGAGGACACATGAAATAAAGATTGTGACGCGAGTTTGCATCTTACGTGAAGTTTGATGACTTAGGTTGTAAATTTGGACTGCCAGGTTCATTCAGAAGAGTGTTCAGCTGCAGGAGAAAAATTAAACCATTCATCAGTTTCTGGTGAAGACTTACAATGGACCTAAACTTTGTTAATGTTTAATGCCAAATTCTTACCGCATTATTGATGACATCTTGTACTTGCACGTAACTGCTGTTTCTTAGCTCAGGGTTCTCTGGCATGCTTAGGTTACTCAGTCTAAACTCGAAGATGACGACATAGGAGGTTTCTGAGATTTCTGTTTGGAAAGAAACACCCATTTTCAGTTGTCATCAGTTAAATGTTGACATGTTTTGCTGGTTGAAACTTTCATGTTTTAATTGTTTTTTTTTTGTTAGTTTTTTTTTAAATGACAAAACTTACTCTGATAGGTAACATTGACAATCTGCAGTGATTCATTGAGTTGTGACTCTCTAGATTCCAGAAGTGTACCGATAGCACCTAGGACCAAATCTTCAGTGGGCACTGACGACAAGGATGAGAATACCAATTTGGTTGTGACTGTTGCTGCACCAGTCACATTCGTTGACAATGTTTTGGGTATGTTTGAAGTTTCTGGTTGCGAACTTGAAGCACTTTGAAGTGTTGCAGATGCCTCTGTTTTTGTTGTATTGTCTAGAGGTGTAGTATTGCTAGTAAGAGTTTCAGCTGGTGTTGTTTTGATTGATGTTTGACCGTGAATTGTAGATGCTGGGGATGTTGACGTATTTGTGTTTGGAACTGATGTTATTGGAGCTATTGGAAATTCTGCTGCACTGGTGAGACCTGTAATAATTCCAGTTGTAGTTGTTGATGCAGTTGTAGTTTCTGAATCTATGTTTGGGCTTGAAGTTGTTTTGGTTGAAAGTGCAAGTGTGGCTGGAGCAGCAGATGTGCTGGTAAAAGCTACAGTTGTTCTTAAAAGGCCTCCTGTTGTTACTTGAAATGCAGTTGTTGTTTGAGCTGCAGTTGAACTTGGAATGGTGGCTGTTGTTGTGCTTGGAGCTGGAGCTGAGATATCTGCTGTAATTGTAGTTGTGGGAAGAACAGTCACGGTTGTAATGGGTGTAGTTTGGGTTCTTGGAGGTTCAGTTGTTTTTGTTGGAGTTAAAGTTGGGGATATAGTTACATGCGATGATGAGATAGGCATAATTGTTACAGCAGTAGTTATGGTCTCCGGGGACACAACTGTGATTATTGGAGGTGCATTTGTTGTGGTAAGGAGTGCTGCTTGGCTTAGAGCTAGAGTATTAGTGAAAGCAATAGTTGTGCTTGATAGAGGTGCAGTTGTTATTTGAAATGCAGTTGTTGTTGCCGCTGTAGGTGTGTTTGTTCCTGGAATTGAAGCTGAGGTTTGAGCTGGACTTTCAGTTGCGGGATAGTTATTTGTTGTTGTTGCTAATCTTGATGTAACTGGAGACAGAGTTAGAGTTGAAGTTGTGGTTTTGACTGTTGTTGATGAAGTTGCAGACGTTGTTGTGGCTGTAATTGTGGATGTGGTTGGACCTTTTGTTGTTCTACTTGCAGCTTCAGATGAGACTGAAGATGACAAAGCAGTGGAAGGTACAGTCATAGAAGAGGAAGCTGTAATGGTGGATGTTACAGGTACAGGAGTACTTTCTGAAGTTGTAGACATTGCTGGTGAAGTAAGAGTTGAGGTTTCAATAGTTGTGGCTGCAAGTGTCATTGTGGTTTCAGCTGTTTTTGTACTTGGAGCTTCAGATGAGGTTGCAGCTGATGTAATTTTTGAAGGTACTATTTTGGTAGCTGAGGTTGATGTTGTTTTATATGCAGCTGTACTTTCTGAAGTTGTAGACATTGGAGCAGGATTGACAACTGTTGCTGTGGTTTCAATTGCCACTGTGATCTGAGCTGTTGTTGTCCTTGAAGATTCAGATGAGGTTGGAGCTGATGAAGTTGTAGGAGGTACTACTGTTGATGTGGAAGCTGAAGCTGTAGGCATTGTTGATGATGCAAGAGTTGTGGTTTCTGAGGTTATGACTGTTGATGCAGGTGCAAATATTGTTGGGGGTTGAGCTTTAGTTGTACTTTGAGCTTCAGGTGAGGTTGCAGCTGATGTAATAGAGAGAGGTACTGTCATAGTTGAGGTAGCAGAAGTTGCAGACATTTTTGTTGATGCAAGAGTTTCTGGAGCTGTAGATGAGGTTAAACTTGATGTAGTAGTTGAAGATACCATCATGGTTGTGGAATCTGTGGTTGTTGCAGGTAAAGCTATGCTTTCTGAAGTTGTGCTCAGACCTTTTGTTGTTGTACTTGCAGCTTCAGGTGAGGTTTGATCCGATGTAGTAGTGGAAGGAATGAATGTGGTGGTGGAAGCTGTAGATGTGGTTGTTGTAAGAGAACTTGCAGTTTCTGAATTTGTAGAAATTGTTTTTGATGCAACAGTTGTGGTATCTGGACTCACAACTTCAGTAGTTGCAGCTGCACTAGACATTGTGATTTGAGCTGTTGTTGAACTTGGAGCATCAGATGAAGTTGGAGCTGATGTCATAGTGGAAGGTTGATTTGTGGTTGTAGAAGCTGCTGTTGTCATTGTTGAAGCTACAGTTGTAGTTGAGGAAGCTGTAGTTACTGATGTTGTTACAGGTGCAGATGTTTTTGAAGATGTAGCCATTGTTGTTGAAGTTACAGCTGTTGATGTTGTTGGATCATTTGTTGTTATACCTGGAGATTTAGATGAGGTTGGAGATGATGAAGTAGTAGAAGGCATAGTTGAGGAAGCCGCAGATGTCGAGGATGCAGTTGTAGTTTCGGAAGATGTAGTCACAGAGGTGGAAGGCCCCACTGTGGTTGTGGAAGCTGCAGGTGTGCTTGCTGCAGGTGTAGTTGTACTTTCTGATGTTGTAGGCATTGTTGTAGATGTAAAAGTTGTTGCTTCTGAAGTCACAACTGTGGATGTGAGAGCTCCAGTAGATGTGATTGCAAGTGGCAATGTCATTTGAGATGTTGTTGTACTTGGAACTTCAGATGACATTAGAGTTGATGTAACAGTGGAAGGAACAGTTGTAGTTGAGGAAACTGTAGTTTCTGTACTCACAACTGTGGTTGTGGGAATTTCATTGGTTGAGGATGCTGTAGTTACTGATGTTGTTACAGGTGCAGTTGTTTCTGTAGATGTAGGTATTGTTGTTGAAGTGAGAGTTGTGGATTCTGAAGTTGCAGCTGTTGATGTTGTTGGATCCTTTGTTGCTGTAGGTGTGGTTAATGAAGCTGTAGTCGTGGTTTCTGCTGTTGTACTTTCTGAAGTTGTAGGCACCACTGTTGAAGTAATTTGTGTGGTTTCTGTACTCACAACTGTGGTTGTGGGAATTTCAGTAGTTGAGGATGCTTTAGGTACTGATGTTGTTACAGGTGCAGTTGTTTCTGAAGATGTAGGCAATATTGTTGAAGTGAGAGTTGTGGATTCTGAAGTTACAACTGTTGATTTTGGATCGTTTGTTGTTGTAGGTGTGGTT